GGTTTCACTTGAATGTGAATCTGGAAAAAGAGTGCTGTATGAAACCATGCTAATGCTAAGCATGTTCCTGTCATTGTACACGCAGCATGTCGACCACAAGCGCTTTCACTGATGACTTTTTGGAGCACACAGGCACAAAAGAAGTATGTTAAAAAGGAAATGTAAAATAAAATGTGAAGGCGTAAGTGGAATAGCAGACGGATGGGCTGGGAAGAGCTCAGCTCTACATTACTGTAGATTGTATTTATGTTCATCTTATTCTTTCTCTCTCTGTTTCTGTTTCTCTTTCTCCCGTTTTCCATCTCTCTTTTTGATTTAAACCTCACCCAGGTCGCAAGCAGAGGAGAGACCAAATCCGTCACCAATGGTAAGTGACGACAAGATAAAATGAATTTGTGTAAAGTGTCCAATTTCCAACAAAAAGCTATTTGTCAGCTCAAAATTGCTGTGTGATGCAATGCAGTCTCGGGCAATTACAACGGATTTGATGCTTCAGATAATTTTATGACAAGTAAGGATTTGGACCAGTAAGATTTCACACTGGGCTAGGCTTCCAAGTGATTCGTGATTTCTGCAGGACTTAAAGAGAGGTCTTAAAGGGATAGTTCACCCAAAAATGAAAATTTGATGTTTATCTGCTTACCCCCAGGGCATCCAAGATGTAGGTGACTTTGTTTCTTCAGTAGAACACAAACTGAGATTTTTAACTCAAACCGTTGCAGTCTGTCAGTCTTATAATGTCAGTGGATGGGAATCACGGCTTTGAGTCATAAAACATACACAAACAACGGGCAAATTCACGCGGCTCGTGACGATACATTGATGTCTAAAGACACGAAACGATCGGTCTGTGCAAGAAACTGAACAGTATTTATATCGTTTTTTACCTCGGATTTTCACCGCAATGTCTGAACTGTCCTGAAGAAACAAAGTCACCTACATCTTGGATGCCCTGGGGGTAAGCAGATAAACATCAAATTTTCATTTTTGGGTGAACTATCCCTTTAAAACATCTTAATTCATCCTTCTACAAATTAAGGCCTAAAAAGGTCTTAAATCAGAGAGAAAGTCCTAAATTCATAAAGTCATGGCATTAAATGTTGCACGCACGGCAGAAAATTAGATCTTCCTCTGTATTTTTGTTTTGTTTTCCAGTGCAAATGTCTAAATATTGTTAAATCAAGATACATTTAGATGCAAACTTGAACATATGCCCCCGGTTTCACAGACAAGGCTTAAGCCTAGTCCTAGACTAAAATGTAAATCTGAGCTGTTTCAACTGAAAGAAACTTGCACTGACTGATCTTAAAACATGTCAGTGGCTTTGTTTTGTCTTAAGATGCACACCAGTAATGATTTTTTCTAAGGCATGTTTATAAAAATTTCTTAAATGTCCTAATTGAACTATGGCCTAATCCTGGCTTAGGCTAAGCCCTGTCTATGAAACCGGGCCATGAAGTCTTTTTTTCTGAGAAATTGAATAATACTGAGTTAAATGCTTAAAACAAGAATAATCACCTGTCTACTGGTTATGAAAAACTACCTTTTCAAGTAAATGCATCTTGATTTAAAATCTTTATACATTTACATTGGAAAACAAGAAATATGAAAAATACAAATGAAAAACTTTTTTTTTTCTTGCAGTGTGATCAAGAAGGTACAGTAAAATATATTGCCATATTCTAGTGGTTAGGAGAACCATAAGCTTTTATGTTATTTTATTTTTACTATTTTATTTGTTTTTTTTATTTATTTATTTATTTTAATTTTTTTGTCAAATGAATGAAAAATTAATGGAGATCTGTTGGAGGATGTATTTTCAAACATTGAAGCATTGCTAATACAAGATTTTTACATTTAGAGACAATATTGACATATTGTGTTCCATTCAATTTATTCCCTAAATTCTCCTGAGAGAATTAATCTTAAGTATTACATTTACCCTTATAAAACCTGCAGAAAAGAGTATTAACATCATAAAATTAACATAATACATTTTAATTTAAAAAGTAAATTTATAGCACTATACTTTGTTAAATTACCTTGGAATTTAATTACAGAAAACCAGTTAATGTAGTTACATTTGTTGTAGTGTCCATTTACCAATATAAAATTGTACCCAACTATGCGAAAAGAAAGGTCAATTGAAACCAAGTGATTATCAAAATGTCCTAGTGGATTGTTTAGATAAAGATTCAGATTTATCTGAAAGAGTTTTTAGGTTTTAGACAGCAAAAAAAAAAGCCCAAAGCTTGCTTGGTTAGAACACTTTGTGAGTTTCATTGCGCATGTGTGTTTGCATTATAGCCTATACATCTATCTGTGTCCCTGAGGGGTCCTGCTGTGAAGGGCAGTTTCCACCATATTGCACAACACCCACAATCCACTCTGCCAGGAGTCCCTGCCAATGATAAATCATCGCTGCAGGCACGTCGTCCACCGGCTGCAGTGTTTTAAAATGCCTCTTTGGCATTGTTTTCTATTTTGAATAGCGGCCATTTGTTCCTCTAGATGAGGACGCGGTGACCTTCGGGCGTGCCAGGCGGTTTTTGGGTAATGGGCGACGTGGCCTGCCCCTCCCCGCTCTGCTCGTCTCAGTATCAGGCCGTGGATTCTGGGCGTCTGTCAGTGCATGTTTGTCACATTACTGCATGGGGCGGTAGAAGATTAGCGTGCCCGCATGCCGTATGGAGATGTCATGAAAACTTAATCCTTCCAACCACTTAAAAATGGTCCGACGCCGCACATTTAAGATATTCTTTTAGCTGTTTTTAGCTCTGGAGCACGAAAAATAAAAGGGTGTAGATCACAAATACACACAGCTAAGATGTTTAATTGTCTCAGATTCTTGGCTTAATGAAGATCGTAACAAACACACACCATTTAACCCTTCTAAGGGACAAAATATGACCAGGTCCCATAAAAACAGGCAACAATCATGTTTAAACAAGTTTTGTATGATAATCATTCTTTATTTGTACCTTAAATTTGGGTAAAATTTGACATACTAGAGATCTACTTATTTCACTGGTTCTGAACAAGGCTGCATTTGCATGATCAAAAAATTCAGATATTTTTTAAAAATACAAAAATGTAATTTATTCCTGTGATCAAATCTGAATTTTCAGCATTATTACTCCAGTCTTCAGTGTCACATGATCCTTCATAAATAATTCTAATATGCTGATTTGCTGCTCAAGAAACTTTTTTATTATTATTATTATCAATGCTAAAAACAGTTGTGCTGCTTAATATTTTTGTGAAGACCAAGCTACTAATTTTTTCAGTATTCTTTGGTCAATAAAATGTTGAAAACAACAGCCTTTATTTTGTGAATTCAAAGTTTTTTTTATTTCAAATCTCTATTTTAATTTATTAATACATGCACAATCCTGCATAGTGCATATTCAGTTTATATTTATTTTTAATTTCTCTTTTGTCTTTTAACAGGAACGGGCCATTAACCTTTCAAAGACGCCAGAGAGGCAGGGACCAAGAGAATGCACAACATTCCTTTTTTTTTTTTTACTTTTATTAATACCAAAAAAAAAATGCGAGCATTTTATACTGCCAGGAAGATCTATGTGAGTAGACACAGTATAAAAGAGAGAAAAATAAAAAAAAATATATATATATATTTTATCACTGTATTCACAGGTCACCGTCTTGCACCATCATAAAATAAACGCAATGCCTTTGCATGTAACTTCTGCTAAACTGAAATCAAGGCTGTGAAAACAAGAGACCAAGTAATTTGTTTCGATTATATAACAATTATATAACAGCAGCCAACTCAAAACATTACGAGATTCCCTGAAAAGGAGGACGAGGAGTTGCATTCCGAACTGTCTTTTGTGAAATCACATTCATTTTAAACATGTTAGTTACCCTTCTCACCTGTTAATTTATAACTAAAGCAAAGCTTCACCTTGCATTTCATGCCTGTTTGCCAGTTCCAGACCGAATATGAGCACCCGTAGTGTAGCTGTATTTTGTATTTTTTGTCGTAACGACACTTTTTTTTAATAAAAATTGTCTTAATAATATATGTTAGCACATAGTGTAAGTTTTTGTAATTAACTATATATTTTACTGCTTGATACAAAATGGTCTTTGCTTTTGCTCTCAATATTATTTTATATCAAAGCAAGTTTTAATTCAGAAGAAGTCCATTATAGTCATACCGTTAGCATTATTACATTATCTTTGGCTTTTTTTACTCTTGGAAACACTGGTCTGAAGTTGTTTGTGACCATCTTTTTGTAAGTGTTAATCATGTGGAATAATCGGTATTGGTTAAAAACTGTTCAACTCGACAGAAAGGGAAAGTGCACTTTTTGGCTTATATTTGAGTACATTTCACAGTTTTTGCATATAATGCAAGGCCTTGGTTAATCCAAAACCATCCAAGGAGAAGGACAAAGTCAAATCATGTTTAATGTTCAAGTGTATAATTTTTCTTCTTTCTGTTGCAATCATTCATACTAAATTGCAACACGGATGTCGTCGGCTTTCAATACAGCGCTAGTTGGCAGAATGTAAGTAATGCCGTCATTTAAACGTGTATCATTTCTGACGTCTTTTGTCAGACAAAGAATATCCAGTTCTGCCGCCGTAGCTTAACACTAATGTCTCTAAATGTTCACAGTTCCTGTATTCTGCTTGTATTTTTTGACAATCAAGTTTTTTACTGTTTGTTTCAACACTTATGTATTGTTTCAGAGTAACACGATGCAAGTCGCACCACCTTTAATTGCAATTACCTTGTTACAAATATGACTGTTTGTAGCCAATAGTTCCATACAGAGCAAATGTTTCATCTTGTATTGTCTCAGTGACCACAATAAAGAGACCAATGAAAAACACCTGTGATTGTGTGCTTCTCAATACTCCAGCAGCCGTATATCACATAACTGGCATGCTCCGCTTCCTCTAACAATAGGCTCAGCTCTGGCAGCCAATCAGAGCAAAGCAGTGAGGTCACATGATCTGGCAGGTCTGTATTAGGTGAGCTTTGGGTTCGTTTGAAACTGTCTGCTGCCCGGACCCTCGAGATAAGACCCCATCTCTCATTCTTCCTGGTGAGACCTCAGGTAAGAGGCTTCAGATTTTGTTATCAGATCCAACTGACAGTTCCTTCATAACTAAAACCAACAATTGCATGCCTACCGGATTAAATTGATTGTGGGAAGTTTCCCATAATGTGTGAATCAGGTCTGAGGATCACCCTCTTCATTCTTTTTCATGGCGTAGTCTGTGCAATCATCAATGCAATGCTCGTCTTGTTCGCCAGAGGGACTGGTGGTTTGCATGCTTTGGGTTTTTGCCTTAATGCAGCTTAATACAGACTATCAATGGCAACATTCCTGCCACCGTCAGCCTGTGATTTTCCAGCCTTTCGGATGGAGCACGACCGGCCCTCGCTTATTAATGTAAAACGCACGTAACTCCAAAGTGAGATGGTTAATCTGCTGCAAAGACTGGCTGCTCCTGCCTGCTCTCATTATCACGAGGACTTGATTTAAAAACAACCTTTATCCAAGATGATCTCTTTGTGAAGAGCCATTAGTTTGAGTGCCATCAGACAAGATAGGCTGAAGACCCCAATAGCTATTGAGCTGCAAATATTGAGTGAATATAAGATGATAAAAACATGTTTCAGTTGGATGACCTGCTGACCTTTGGACCTTCAGCAACTACAGTTTGAATTTAGACACTTCAATACAATGAAAGAATAAAAATGGTGTAGGATTTACTTTGAAACAATTTTCACTCAGAAACCGCTGGTGAATTTCACAAATAAATGCAAAGAAATTAGATTTTTTTTTAATTAGAAAATGTACTACATTATTCCTTATTTACAACTCAACTTTTTTATTTATTTATACAGTGTATGTTTTCATTGCATTAAAAGGAAATATCAAACAATGTGCAAAATGAAATTCACTTTTGGCTTTTTTTTGTAATTGTTGTCCAATCAGCTGGTGTTTTGGTGATTTTTAGGAGGTCAGATCTCCTTGTCATTCATTACAAACACACTAAAAAATAAATAAAATTGGTGTAAAAAATGGTGTAGAAACAATTTTCACATAGAGATTGCTAGTAAAGTTCACAGTTACAAAGAAATAAAGTAACACATTGAATTAAACATTTTCTTGTAATATTAACTCCAGTCATCTGTTTTATTTGAAACTTAGAAAAAAACTTTTTACAGTGCATGTTCCACTTTTTATCTCAATTGTGAACATAATAACATTTTGTTTAAAAAATAAAAATCATAAAACTTTATTTTGTTTAATGTTTTTTCTTGAAAAGCATGCTATATTACTTGACATTTTGTTGCCCAATACAATGGCATTCACATATTTTTAATTGTGACTTGGGTCTATACATTGTAAAAAAAAAAAATTTTTTACAAGAAATACTATTTCAGTTTTTCTGCTTCAAAATGTCATGTTTAATTTAATGCTCAACTGGCCATTTCTTAGTGAAATTTACAAGCAATTTTGAGTGATGTTTATTTCTTTTTCTTACTTTGTGGGACAACTATATAATCCTAATGAGTTGCATTAAAATCTAGACGGGTCTTTAACGTCATTAGAAGCTGTGGAACAATGTCCTGCACAAACAATGTGCTTCAAAAATAGATGCCAAGGACACACTCGCTCTTGATTTACACAAGAGAATGAATGGCAGGCCTGGATGAGATCAGCCAAGTTACATATTTTTAATTGTGACTTGGGTCTATACATTGTAAAAAAAAAAAAATTTTACAAGAAATACTATTTCAGTTTTTCTGCTTCAAAATTTCATGTTTAATTTAATGCTCAACTGGCCATTTCTTAGTGAAATTTACAAGCAATTTTGAGTGATGTTTATTTCTTTTTCTTACTTTGTGGGACAACTATATAATCCTAATGAGTTGCATTAAAATCTAGACGGGTCTTTAACGTCATTAGAAGCTGTGGAACAATGTCCTGCACAAACAATGTGCTTCAAAAATAGATGCCAAGGACACACTCGCTCTTGATTTACACAAGAGAATGAATGGCAGGCCTGGATGAGATCAGCCAAGTTCATTGTCTGGCAAAGTGTGGAGCACCTGTTCCAAACCGTAGTTTATGACAAGCAAAAATAGCCTCCTGCGCTCATTAATCACATGTTTTATAGTGTGATTTATTTCCTTCAGGACAGCGATGCTGCTTTTTCAAAGCTTGTTAAACACAGTTATGAATACGAATCCTTGTTATGGTCCAACAATGTTGAACATAAAGATTATTGTTCTCTGGGATCAGGGCCACTGGCAGAGGTTTAAAGAGGATTTGTTCTGCAGTTAGTACATGCTGAAATAAATTGAAATTGAATGAACTCATTCAGACGTGCATGGAAGGTCCTTTTATAATTGAAACTCATTTCCTTTATCAGGAATCTACTAGTCATGGCTGACACAGAAGAAGTCATGGAGGAGGAAGTTCAGTACGTATGAACTCATTACTTTTTACCCGTTTTAATTCATTTGTATTCCGAATGGAACACTGCAAAGTATCGACTCAGCACGGTTGTCTAATTACTCTATTGACATCTCATAGCATCTCGTGTTACTATGGCAACGACTGACACGTTTGTATTGCGAGCTCTGTTATTTAGCCTCTCTGCGGAAAATTAAACCATATCTGTATTCAAAAAGCATCTCCATGAAGAAACTTTAACATCCATAAAACCTTTTCATTCCACAAAATGTTCTTTAGATTATTAAAATGTTCTCGGAAAAGTTGACATCACTGCGAAAACCCCATTTTGGAACCTTTATTTTTGAGAGTGTTCTCTATATAGGCCTACTAAAATAATTGAAACCGCAGTAACCTATAGTGTGACATTGTTGCCACATGCGTGTGATTGAATTATTTTGCATAAAATATCTTAAAGTTTAATAGTCTGATCATGTAATAGTAATAGTCAGAGCAGAAATGGTTAAAAAAAAAAAAACTTTCTAAAGTTAGCATTATATTGTGGGATATACAATTCTGTGCTAATACTCCAAGCACATACTGTATACAGCAGAAGCAGTGAAAGTAGTATGCAGTATGCTAGGAAATTCCATACACGACCTACATTGTTTATATCTACACTCTCAGAAAGCTGTCAGTGTACATCTTTGTACCTTATTTACCCCTAAATGGTACATATTGGTGCTTTAAAAGTACATACCTAAATTGTACATATTAGTACATTTTAGCCATTAGTACAAATTTAGGTTATAAAAACATTGTGGGATAACTGTGTTGAAATGTTTCTAAAACATTGACATGTCCAGTTTACTTGATGTGATTATAACGTTATTTAAAGGTTACAAAAATGTTTCTGACAATGTTTTACGAACTTTTTCGCCCAAAATAAAATGTTTTTGAACATTTGTTTTAATGTTTTGTTTTCTTATCGTGATTAGAACGTTATTTAAAGGTTTCAAAAATGTTTCTTATAATGTTCTACTAACGTTTTTACCCAAAATAAAACGTTATTTGAACATTTATTTGAAATGTTCTAAGAACGTTAAAATGTCCAGTTTTCTTGTCGTGATTAGAACACTATTCAAAGGTTCCTAAAACGTTCTACTAATTTTATTTTCACCCAAATAAAACATTATTTGAACATTTATTTTTAATATTCTAAGAACGTTTTCTCTCAACATTATGAGAACATTCATCAAGTACAAATAACATCATAATAACATCCAAGAATGTTCATCTTAGAACGTTTTCTCTCAATAAGAACATGTAATCAAATATTAATAATATTATAAGAACGCTCCATAAGCATTACTTTAAGAACGGTTTGTTCTAACATATTTAGAACTTTTAAAAAATGCTAGTGAGAGCGTTCCCTATTGGGGTGACAGCTTTGTTTCTGAGAGTGTAACCCAATTTTATGTATCATCTTTTTAATTTCTTTATCCAACTCAATGTCAACTGTTTATCCTTTTCTTTTTCTCTCTTCACCATGTGATAGAGAAGGTAAGCCAGTATGAGATGAGCATGCTTATTCATGCACTAATCACTAATTATGTCCTGATGGAAATGGAGGCTGGTCCAAAGGAAGTTCTGCATGCTATTGTGCTGTTTTTGACTGTGATTTCACTTGGCCAGTGGAGTTGAGTAACTCAAGTGACTAATATAATTTTGTGTAGAGTGACATTTTAATATCAAGTATGTCCAGCCCATGTCTGTTTCCTCTTGTCTCAGATGTCAGTTCCCACATTCTGTCCATAACAGTCCGTAAATCTAATATTTGTTTGCAAGGATTTATGGCATAGTCAAAATAATTATGTGAAAATCACATTAAATTCATTTAACGCATCCATATGATCACGCAAATGGCATTAGATTCTGAATATGAACTTTCTCGAAATGTCATTTACAAGCTGTTGGGTGGATCTCAATGTTCTGACAAAGGCTGAAGATGATCTGTTGACTTGATTCAGCATCTTGATCATGCAAATGTTCCTTTTATGCTTCTGAACGTATTTGCTACTAATCGTTATTATGTTCACACTGTAGTGGAGGAAACCGAAGAGGAAGGTAAAACCGTGTTCGCTGTGTGTTGTGTTGCTTTTCCTGCATGAGTTTCAATTTAAGATGAACTCCAAAATATGATTAAATTAGATTTTGATACCACATATGTGACCCTGAACCACAAAACCAGTCAGACGGGTCAATTTTTCGAAATTGAGATGTATACATCATCTGAAAGCTGAATAAATAAAGCTTTCCATTGATGTATGGTTTGTTAGGATAGGACAATATTTGGTCGATTTTTCAACTATTTGAAAATCTGGAATCTGAGGGTGCAAAAAAAATCTAAATGCTGAGAAAATCGCCTTTAAAGGGGTCATATGTTGATTAGAGTTTTTCACATGCATGCATGTAGATATTTCAGTTTATTTTCACAGTTAATTCATTCACTTACTCATCCTCGTTTATGTAATTATTTATTTATTCCTTCTTTCTTTCACTTATTCTATCATTACCCCTCCTGAAGTGGAAGGTAAATTTTTCACAACATATACTTAGCAATAATTGTATTTAGTAATACAATGTATTTTTGGCTATTGCTACAAATATGCCCCAGCGACTTAAGACTGGTTTTGTGCTCTAGGGTCACATATGTGACCTAAAACCATTAGAAAGACCAGTTGCTTCTTCATTGCTTTTCACATGCATGCATGTAGATATTTCAGTTTATTTTCACAGTTAATTCATTCACTTACTCATCCTCGTTTATGCAATTATTTATTTCTTCCTTCTTTCTTTCACTTATTCTATCATTACCCCTCCTGAAGTGGAAGGTAAATTTTTCACAACATATACTTAGCAATAATTGTATTTAGTAATTTATGCACCCATTATTTCATTGTTCACTCATTTTTAAATTGTTTTAGTGATTTAAAAAAAATTAGACAATAGTATGGAAGCCCATTTCCACCACAGAATAAAAAAATGAAAAAGGTCATTGTGAAATTTTTTCTCACAATTCAGACTTTGTTTCTTGCAATTCTAAGTAAAATTGCGAGATATATAAACTCACAGTAGTTCTCAAATTATGAGTCACAATTCTACTTTTTTTTTTTAATCATAGGGGGGAAAAGTCAGAATTGCAAGAAATAAGCTCATAATTGCAAGAAATTTTGAGATTATTATTTTTTTAATTCTGTGGCAGAACCAAGCTTTCATACTTTAGCAACTTTATTGCATTATTTTGAGTAAATTCACCTTTTTCTAATAACTTAGAAACATTTGTGGTGATTTTCTGTACATATAAATATACAATCACCAATGCAAGGTGTTTAGTAATTCATGTAATATTTTCATACTAGAGCCAGTCAAAGGTAATCATTCCCTCATTTAATTTGTTAATTCAGTTGTTTAAATGTTTTATTATTTAAAAACAATAATATCTTAGGTACAATATCTTTAAACCACTGCATCAACACATTTGAATTTTTTATTTCATGTGTTTTATCCAAAAAAAATACATAAAGGAATGATCTGTTCCTGATTGACAGGATTTATGTTGTGGTATGTTTAAAAAATTTGAAGCTACAGTTTTTGTAAACTAACTGATGTGCTGTTCTTATAATAGAGCCTGCGGAAGTAGAAGGTAATTATTTCAGTTCTTATTAATATCATGGTTATTTGTATATACAAGTGTCTGTAAATCTTCATTCTTTTTAACCACTTATAACTATCCCATATCTGAACAGAGGAGCCAGAACCTGAACCACAAGGTAAAGCTCCTCAGGTTTATATTCATTCATAGAATATAGATTAAGAACGAAACATTTAGCAAGAGTTTCCAGATATTCACGTTCTCATTTTTGGGCCCGACGATGGAGGGGGTACGAAATGTGATAATCTGAATTGAATCAACTGCATGATGTGTCATTGTGAAGGCTGGAGGACAGAAACGGTTTATTTGTAAGGTTTGTATGTCATGATGTAACATATCAGTTCATTTCAATCGCATGAGTGAGGACTGTTGCTGTCAGAACATTGGGTCGTCACATTCAGCCGGGCTTTTGTTTCAAAATCAAAACATTTCTTTAGTTCCGGATCGTTTCGTATTCCCAAATATTGTTTGTTTGTCCTTGAAACACTTCAAATGTGTTTATGCAAATAGTCTTAATGTGAAATTGTGTCTGTTCATCTGTCTTCATCTAACAGAAGCTCCAGTGGAGGAGGAGGCCACAGGTAACTGCTCCATAAATCACACACATACATTTGATTGATTCTGGGAATCTGTAACATACTTTCTGCATCATATTCATAGCGATGATGTATTTTGTATATTTTTTTTATCCCCAGATGAGACAAAACCAAAGCCAAAGTATGTTCTACTCTGATATCTTTCTTTCTTATGTTTATATATGTGAATACTGCACACCGTCAGTATTCATGACCAACAATTATTTTACAGATTCATGCCAAATATCACTGCTCCAAAGATTCCTGAAGGAGATAAGGTGGACTTTGATGTGAGTTTGGATTTGAATTACATCACTTCCTGTAGTCGCTTCAAAGTGTTTGGAATGGAATACTGGTGTCTTGCTTAAACTATACCGAATTATGTAAACCTGCACATTATTAATGATGAATATTTTCAATAGTATGCTATACATGACATTACATTTGTCACATGACTTTATTATGTGAATTTTATTTCTGCAAGTATTATGTCTGAAATTTGAACTGTTATTTTCCATTTTGAATCCAACATAGTGTAAAAAAAAAAAAAAACTCTTAAAGGGACAGTTCACCCAAAAATAAACATTCTGTCATCATTTACTCATCCTCCACCTGTTCCTAACCTGTATGAGTTTCTTTCTTCTGTTGAAACAGAAGATATTTTGTAGAATGTTGGTAACCATACAGTTGGCGGTAGCCATTGACTTCCATAGTATTTTTTCCATACTATGTAAGTCAATGGCTACCGTCAACTGTTTGGTTACCAGGGGCGCGGCTACGTTTTCTGGGCCCCCTGAACAGCGTATCCACCTGGGCCCCCGCGGGGGTGGTTGGGGGAGGGGGGGGTCCCCCCTCCATCGTCGGGCCTTTGGAATTGTCCTAACTCCCCCCTCCCCGTTACGGCGCCAATGTTGGTTACTAACATTATTTGGAACAACTTGAGGGTGAGTAAATGATGTCAGAATTTTCATTTTTGGGTGAACAATCCCTTTAAGTTCTGATAGTCTGGTCAAGAAGTTAAAACTAAAAATCTAGATGTATATTATTTCCATTATCCATTGTAGGATACAGTACTCATAATTGAACATTAAGTGATAAAAAGGAAAATTTCATTTTAAAAAATTTTATGCGACTCATTTAGAACTGCAAAGCTTTTCACACACCCAGCGTTTCCACCATTTCGGTCTTTTCAGAAGTAAAAACAAGTGTCATGAGTTGAATACCACACATTTATGCATGTTCTTCACGATTTGTAAAATACGGATGCTATTATTCGTACTATAGAGTTGTATGTTAGTGTAAACATTGCTTTCATGCGTGTGTAACAGGACATCCACAGAAAGCGTCAGGAGAAGGATTTATCTGAGCTTCAGTCTCTGATCGAGGCTCATTTCATCCAGAGGAAGAAAGATGAAGAGGAGCTGATCGCTCTTGTCAACAGAATCGTAAGTCCTGGAAGAACTATCTAATCCAGAACAGGGTTAGACAGCTTTAAGTGCTAAATAACTTGTGATTGACAGTGTTGTATCTGTGCAGGAGAAGCGTCGCACTGAGAGGGCGGAGCAGCAAAGAGTCCGTACGGAGAAGGAGAAAGAGAGACAAGCCCGTCTGGCTGTGAGTGACATTCGTTTCAGCCAATAGGGAGCAGCCGTTTACCTCCATAATACTGAGTGCTAGCATAGAAATGTAGTGAAACTCTTTCCATCATCCCTCTTCAGGAAGAAAAGGAGAGAAGAGAGCAAGAGGAACAGAGGAAGAAACAAGATGAAGATGCTAAGAAGAAGAAAGTGCTTACTAACATGACACACCAGTACGGAGGAATCCAGCAGAAGGTTTGAATTAAGAGATTTCTAGAACTAGAAACATATGTTATTATTATATCATCATGCATTAGGGAATACATTTTCTTTTATAAAACTACCGCAGCAGTACCAAGTTAGTTAACCAAACACTATCGATCTTGTCTTGCAGGGCGAGGGCCGCAAGGGGGCGAAGAAACAGACGGAGAGAGAGAAGAAGAAGAAGATCCTGGCGGAGAGGAGGAAGCCAATCAACATCGATCACCTGTCTGAAGATAAACTGAAGTAAGTCACCGCCGAACATGATCTCATCACAGTCAGATCAGCTGGTTGTGTGGAAATGGCCACTGACGAAGCTTCTGATTGGTTCTCGCAGAGAGAAGGCCAGTGAGCTCTGGCAGTGGATGATGCAGCTGGAGGCCGAGAAGTTCGACCTCAGCGAGAAACTGAAGAGACAGAAATATGACGTAAGTGCTGACATAAAAAAAAATAAAAAAATAACAGATTTGAATCACTGTCAATATGAATTTTGTATACTGTATTTATGTTGCAAATAACAATTTCCTTTTGGCCTATTGCGCTAATTTCAAGAGTTTCAATGTCAGTATCAGCTGTTGACATATATTTTAAGCTCAAATCTGCAGAAAGTAGATTACAAAATGTTATTTAAAATTTTTTGATAATTTGACACAACATAAATCACTTAAAGTCAACATGAAATCAAGTTAATTTACCTTTTCATTCACATTTTCGGTGTTATTGTGAATAATAAAAATGACAACATCTAAGCTCTGACATACAGAAATCGCTTTTTATGCAGAAAAGATGCATCGCCATCTTGCTCTGAACCAAAGTTATCTGAATGCAGCTGATGCACATGACAACTCATGGTCTTGAATGCACCAGTATATGCACATTACGGAATTAAAATCATTTGTGAATCATCTTAATTTTAAAAGACTTAGTCTGTTAAATAGTTCCCACTTGGGCACTGTGAAAAAGGCGTCCATGGCCTGCCTGTCTAAAACTCTGACTTGCTTCCAGATGAATGTTCTCCAGACCCGAATCAATGAGCAACAAAAGTAGTAAGTAACCGGCTGTGAGGGCGGCCACCTCACTTGCTGTGTAGCCTGCTGTCAGTAACTGTTGTCGGTCAGATTTGTGTCGGGTCTGGGCTCTCGATCGGTCGCTGCCGTGGGTGAAGGGAGGTGGTGTGCTTGTGGCTGTAATCAGGCAGCGGACGTCTGCGAATCCACAGGTTTCCCCATCAGCTGGTCATGTTGAAATTGTCTTTTGTGCTTAGCAAGACTTCCGTATGTGTCCCTTACAGGTCACTCAGCTACTGGCTAGAGTCAGGGATCACCAGAGGTAAGTACCCTGAGCCTCACTGGTCCCTTTCCCCTGGTTTCAACGAGGTCTGGGTGAGAGGAAGGAAGCAGAGGAAGTGTTGCTCTTAAGCAGAGCAAGACAAAGCCGTTTTGGTTTGATCTGCTCAACAGACCCTGCTCCTTTCAGATCCCAGGCCCGATGAAACCGCACGATCTTGACCGGAGCGAGGTTGGAGCATGTGGTCCAGCTCAGTCCCAGTGTCAAATGGGGAAACGTTTAGGATTTTTACACTCAATCCTAATAGGACCAGTTCAAGTGGCTCCTTCAGTACTTTATTGTCATCACCAACACATACAGTACATGAATTTGTCCACATAAACTGACAGAAACATTCATATATGCAGATAAATACATATGAATTATTAGAAATGTTCACCCAAAAATCCAAGATGTAGATGAGTTTGTTTGTTCATCAGAACAGATTTGGAGAAATGAGTTCATAGGAGAGCATTACATCACTTGCTCACCAATGGATCCTCTGCAGTGAATGGGTGCATCTTGATGAATATGTTTCTTACAAACACGCTGCTTTTCACCTCTCAAAATCATAACTGATGGACTGGAGTCATGTGGATTACTTGTGATGTTTTTATCAGCTGTTTGGACTCTCATTCTGAGAGTTGATCCATTCACTGTCAAGGATCCATTGGTGAGCAAGCGATGTAATGCTAAATTTCTCCAAATCTGTTCACATGAAGACACAAACTCATCTATATCTTGGAAGGCCTTAGGGTGAGTCAATTTTCAGCACATTTTCATTTTTGGGTGAACTATTCCCTTAATATATTGATTGGACATAGATGAGAGAGACTCCAGTAAAACGGTAAGTTCAAAATGAATATTTTGCCTCTGGAGACAGAATCTGTAGGCTGAACGAGAGGGTAAGAAACACATTAGGCCAAAACAAGACTGAAACATAGACTGCATGCGAATAAGTGATGCGATTTTCTTGCATGTGTTTGAAACGTGTCTCTTCTAATCTTGTGAACTGCTATTCTGATAATGTTTTTTTATTTAGTTTCCACTTCACTTGTTTTAAAATGTGTAAGGACAAGAATCATTTTTGGTTTATGGTGGCTGTTTTAATTAATATTCATGGCTTTGCTGATGAATATTAATTAGGGTATGCTCCGATAAATAGTCTGTGTAATTTGCTAATTTGCAAGTCAAAATTTAAATGCATTTTGATTAGAATTAAAATGTGCAAAATCATTTAAATAATTTCAATAGCATAATGTCATGCTCTGATTTAGTAGATCAATGGACTGATGAAAGGATCAACAATTATCTCAAAAGTGTTTGTTTTTTTATATGCAGGTTTGATGATTATTTTTCTCTTTTCAGTGCCAAAGGTCGTGGCAAGGGCAAGGTTGGTGGCAGGCTGAGGTAAACGTGCAGTGAATCGAGGCACCACAGAGATCCAGAGGACTTCGTCTCCTTCTTCACATATGCATTTGTAGTCATTATGAAACCATTGTTCTGTTTGATTGCACATGTAGAGACAGTAAAGTGACATATTTTACTGATGTCCTGTTTTATTCCTGCTTTTTTGTCTTAGACACACAAGTATTTTGCAGTCATATCATTCATTTTATCCCTGCAATATTAAAAGAGTCAAACTGCCTACAAAGTGTCCTGGTGACTCTTTCTCACATACTTATCCATCATTTTACAAAACCAGTTTTTTAATCACTATTCCCACACATGCAAATGTAATTCATAAGCAGTGCAAAGGAAAAAGGTGCAGAGCCAATATGATCTTAATAATAAACTCATTTCAACATATTATGAAACCAATGAAAGTCATAAGTATAGAAAGAGGACCTTGTTAAACAACCAATACGCATTCACTCAATGGATTGTCTTCTTTGAGAAATGCATATTGATCAATATAAACTTTATTTAAAAATCACCACTGGAGGGCCCATCCCATTTAAGTTGAATAGACGTGATTTGCAGCGGTGTAATTCACAAAAATCACCACAGGAGGGCGCAATCCATTTAAGTTAAATGGACTCGATTTGCAGCAGTGTAATTCACAAAAATCACCATAGGAGGGTGCAACCCATTTAAGTTGAATAGACTCGATATACGGCAGTTAAATCCCCACTTGAGGGCGCAACCCATTTAAGTTGAATAGAATTGATATATGGCAGTGTAATTCACAAAAATCACCACTGGAGGGTGCACCCCATTTAAGTTGAATAGACTTGATTTGCAGTGGTGTAATTCACAAGAATCACCACTGGAGGGCCCATCCAAGTTGAATAGACTGGATATATGGCAGTGTAATTCACAAAAATCACCACTGGAGGGTGCACCCCATTTAAGTTGAATAGAATTTATTTGCAGCGGTGTAATTCACAAAAATCACCACTGGAGGGCCCATCCCATTTAAGTTGAATAGACGTGATTTGAAGTGGTGTAATTCAACAAAATTACCATAGGAGGGCGCAACCCATATAAGTTGATTAGACTGGATTTGCAGCGGTGTAATTCACAAAAATCACCACAGGAGGGTGCAATCCATTTAAGTTAAATAGACTCTATTTGCAGCGGTGTAATTCACAAAAATCACCACAGGAGGGTGCAACCCATTTAAGTTGAATAGACTCGATATATGGCAGTTAAATCACCACTTGAGGGCGCAACCCATTTAAGTTGAATAGACTGGATATACGGCAGTGTAATTCACAAAAATCCCCACTGGAGGGTGCACCCCATTTAAGTTGAATAGAATTTATTTGCAGCGCTGTAATTCACAAAAATCACCACTGGAGGGTGTAAGGTGTTTAAGTTCATTTGACATTCAATATACACTCAATTTGCAGTGGTGTAATTCACAAAAATCACCACTGGAGGGTGTAACAGGTTTACGGTAATTAGAGTTACAGCAATGTAATTCACAAAAAAATTAAAATGAGGCAGTGTCAATGCCAAATGTGACCACCGGAGGGCAGAGCCTTCTGAACGAGACACTGCTAGTGTCTTCCCCTGTAAAACCTTGAGACAAACTTTACTGGGCAGCTTTCTCGAGTCTCTAGCTCTGAATGAATTGATAAAGTTGAGGTAGGCTTGATTAGATGTTCCAGGTGTAGCTAATGACTGATATTAGCTCTGGACTAGTTTATAAGCCTAGTATATGAGACATGAAATCAGAAAAAATGGGGTCTACATTTTTAAATGTTAAAAGTTTTATTTTAATAAATGTCACAATATAACATCATGATTACATGTTTTCACAGATTTGTGTGATAACATAATTGAAGGTGTCAGTATAAACGTGAAACACATCATATTTGTCATTAATGTGTCCGGCCAATCACGAAACAGCTGCGTTGTGTGGCTTATGCAGCCATTCTCGAGAAGCTGGGTTGAAGTCAGGTGGCTGCTTTCATTCCAGACAAAATCTCGAAACTGACATGCAGTTTTGTGTCAGGCGCTGATCGGTCTGTACGTTGCTGTGTGAAGTCGAATACGACTTGTGTAACAATGATTGCGTGGCATTACATGATGATTTGTGATTGGCTGTGGTGATGAATATTTAATTAGCTGTTTTTGCTTATGAAAAACATTAAATATAGTTATTTGTAGTTAATATAGCTTATTGTTCTGTTTGTCATTCTGTTTAGTGCTGCTTGTGTGGTTTAATATAAAATTTTCACTAAATTTTTAATTTAGCGTTACCTTTGTTGAGAATAGTGTGCCTTTGAACTACATGTGACTTCATGTTTTATTCTACTGTTAATGCAGTACATGTGCACTGTTGTGTCAATGCTGTTTAAAAGTGAGATAGGATTGTTTTTTTCTGTGTTGAAAATAAAAATAAATCTATAAACAAACCAAGTTAAGCCAGAATACAGGCCAAAACTATAACTGTACAAAAACAGCACATAACAATAGCCCTATAGTTTAATGCGAGTACTACATACATGAATATAAATATTTTAAAAAAGATCATTATGATTTTTATGCATTGTAAGAAATTTAAAAAACGCCACAGCTAACATTTTTTAATATCAACTTAAAAAAATTATGAAGTTATTCTATACATCAAGTGTGTACATCAAATTATATAAACTAGTTTATTAGGCAATTCATGTTCTTTAAGATGACAATGCGCAGGGGGGGGGAAAATTGTATTTCACCTGAGTCTAAATGGCCCTTAAAAAACATTTCCTTCAATTCTGTGGCTGACTCAGACCTGCACAGACTCAGTAATGCGAGAGATTATTGTGTTTTAAACGTGAAGTCCTGAGTTTGAACCCCTTTGTTACATATTTTAAATTGTTGCTATAGCTAATTCCATAGACCAAAATCTAAAATAGCATATTATCATAACCTCTGTGGCGAAGTGGTTAATTATTTGTGTTTTGGTACAAGAAAGTCTTGGTTCAAGTCCCACAATTACTGAAGTACATTTCATCATTTATTAAGCAATTCATGTTTTTTAACCTGTGCTTTGAAAACAATGGCAAGAATTTAAATTAAAAAGGCCATATTTCAACTGAAAGTGGGAAGTCATTTGCTTTTTGGTACATGAAAGTCATGGTTCAAATCCCATGATTGCTGAAGTGCTTTTCATCATTTATTAAGCATAGGAAAGACTAATTAACTGTTAAAAAAAAATATAAAAACTACCTCACAAATTCTGTGGCGCAGTGGATAATTATTTGCTTTGTTGTATATAAAAGTCTTGGTTCAAATACCACTATTACTTACATCAAATTCTTGCTATACTTTATGCTACAAAACAATGCAAAATCACAGATTCAGTGGTGCAGGAGATAAAGTACTGTGTTTTAAACGTGAAGTCCTGAGTTCGAGTCCCGTTGTTTCTTATTTTGCTTCTATAATTAATAATGTAATGTAATTAAATAGAACCAAATCAAAACCACTGTTTCACACCACAGCTTCTGTGGCGCAGAGGATAATCACTTGTCTCTCATGCATGACAGGCTGGGTTTGAACCCAGCAGCTGCTGGGGTTTTCTTTACATAAAACACAGCTCTCAATAAAACCCCAACTGAACCCAGTTTAACTGCCCAGCCTTGGGAGATCAGGTGATAAAGCATTGTATTTTAATCATGGAGACCTGGGTTCGATTCCTTCTATTGCTTATGGTAAACTGTTGATGTTATATCCAACAAAGCGGACCAAATGTCGATAGTTGGTGTGAAAGTCACAATGGCACTAGTGGCTAAACACACGTTGGTTGCGGACAAGGTTACGTTGGAGTCGTGGGTTCAAATCCTGCACCAAAGAAAGATACTGAATAACTGAGCGAGGCGGCAATGGCGGTGAAACAGAAAGCCAGAGGCAGACTGGCTAAGATACCCGGAGCGGTAAAACAGACTGGCTACTCAGCCATGAGAAACACGGACTAACAGACATAACTGGGGCGATACAACAGACTGAGTAAGCAGTCATGAGAAACACGGACTAACTAACAGACGTACCTGGGGCGGTAAGATGGCCAAAAGATGAGAGATGGAGACGGACATGAGAGAGGCGGGCCTGAGGAGGAAGGTGGAGAGGAGAGAAGTTAAAGAGAACAAAAATTTAATAATTTTTTTTTTTTGCTGCTAAATGTGGCCAAAAATGGCTTCCTCATTTTCATCTGCAGCAGAGGGGGGGATTTGAACCCACGTCTCCTGCATTGGGTTGAGGTCTTATACTATGAGCGCTGACCACTCAGCCACACCAGCTCACACATGGAGTGGCATTCAGTTACTATAACAAATAAACAAATTTACATACATTTCCCAAAAAATTTTTTTTTAAAATTAAATAAATCAAAATTGTCATACTATTAAAGGTACAATTAAACATTAATTTAAAAACGAAACATTCAGAATTCAAATATTAAAATCAAGATTTTTGCAAATGATAATAAATAAATTCACACACTTTTAAAATATTTTTGTATATGTACAATAAATTATTATTTTTTAAATATAATTTGTATGTAAATATTACATAAAAAAGTTAATATTTAGAAATAGAACATATAAATATTTTTATTGCAAAAAAAATGTTTCATATTAAAAAATAAAACATATTTACCCATTTTAAAAAAAACTACTTTTGCGTCTAGGTACATTTAAATAAATACTAATGACACACAAAAAAAATACTATTGAATATTTTAACATTTTAAAAACAAAATGTAAATATACAAAATAATATATAAATTACATTAAACTTACGTAAATATTTATAAACAGAATATTAAAATCATTTTTTGCTAGATTTTTTTGTTAAAAAAATTAAAGTTAAAAATCTTGTTAAAAAACACAAACATTTACACATTTTGTGTCTAGGTACAAATAAATAAATAAATAAATCCTAATCATAAAACTAGTAAAAAACTAGTATATATCTAAAATATTAAGAAATAAATGTAAACAAATTTTAATTCAAATTATTTCCTATATACAATTAAATAAATACTAATACCAAAAAGGTTTGTCTAGATACAACTGGATACTCCATTACATTTAAAATATTAAATTAATATGTAAATATCAGATAAAACCATATAAAAAATATTAACATAGTATTAAAGCTATTAAAAATATATGCATTACCTGCCCGTGACCAGATTTCTGTTATTAAAGCAAATGTCAGTCCACATGTTCCAGAACTCTTCTTCCAACATCACTTACCTGCTGTTTAAAGAAAGAAATAAAGACAGAAAACATTAGCTATGTGTAGTAGGATGAACTGCTCTTTATCAGTAACTTTGTGTCTTTATAAAACACCTGTGTCACACTCACTTTCTAGAGTGTTATTGGATAATGAACATCCAAAACAGTGGGCAATAATGGGCAACATAGCGCACATGACGAGAAGAACCAGGTATGCTTGAGCATTCCTTCCTTTTTAGGGTCGCATCACGTCCTATAAACAATTGTATGAATTTTGAAGCCTAAATACAATTGGCAGAAGCAAAAAGTTAAACCTAAGCTATACACTAACTACAACATTGCATGAGTTTCTCCATCACATTGTTGCTTCCAACAGCTCTTTCAACATTTATTTAACAAACATTTTCCCTGAAAATTTGAGTTAGAATAGTTTGCAGAAGAATAGTTTGATGCCGTTTAATGTCCACAACAACCTTTGTAGTCCCATTTAGCCACTTAGCAACCGCCTTTTAAAAAAAATTTTAAATAACTAAAAGCTAAAAAAAAAAAAAAATCACAAGGGTATTACTGATGTATTTTATGTCATAGAATAAAACATGAAGACATTTTGAGCCTGTATTAATCACAGACCTTATTTCAGGCATTTAACTGAAAATCCATTAAAAAAAAAGCCATTGCATCGTCAACATTTAAAAAGTTAATAGTCTTATATTTAAATATGCCATTGAAACAGATCTAAGCTCTACTCATAGTATACCAATCACAGCTAGAAGTAGGAAAGACATGAAGCAGCAGAAGAACATCAGAGCTTCACAAAAAACCAACTTACTCTATTAACAAACACGAATACAGTCCATTACAGTAACACTACAATAATATGATAATACATTGCTTGATAAAATGAATAGAAAAGGTAGCCTAATACATATAAATATTATAAAGATAACACAACAATTACTGATGAATTTGGAATCCTAAAAGAAAACCTTCGTATTCATATGTGTTATTCATACAATATGGTCTAATGACAATTATTTTCATCAACAAGATCGTATAACTGAAATCTCAAGTATTGTACATGGCTTTCAGCCCATGTCTACTAGCTTTAAAGCCATTTATATACTACTAAAAGTATGCTTTTAACAAATACATGTACAATGTAAACATTCTCTTCACAGATCAGAAACAGTAATATTGCACTACACAAATTTTGTTAAATCAAATTGTTTCTAGAGAAAGTCCCTCCTCCAAACACCATCGCACTCTATGTAGTTTCTCAATTAGAAATGTCAGAACAGATTTACCTTTCTAGCAGATCTGAAAGGCTGTGAATGTGAAGAAGTGTCTGGAGGAGCAGCAGGTGAGAGATGCGCAGATACACCGCGAGCAAAACAAACACAACAGAGACTGTCATTCTGCCGCAGAGAGGAGAGCGAGTGAACACTACTACATCAATACACACTTACAGAATTACTTTAAAGCAAAACAAAACGACTGAGGACTTCATACGCGGAAAGTTACTTACAGGTGAGTCGCGTTACACTCGATTCCTGCACTTTACCGCAGTTTGTGTCTGTTTTGTTTGCTGACGGGCGGTAATTGAGAGACATTAAGAGTCTGTCACTAAGCTGTCATCTGCAGAATCTGTACTTTCATGGCATTAAACGACATTAATGTGATAAAGCTTCATTGTTGTCAAACATCGAATGGTGTGAGGCTAAAAGTGACGCTCGCTTTACGCCGCCTAGTGGAGCGGAGGGAGAACTGCGCTTTTTTACCTGACGACGATTCGAAAAGGACCCGGATGTATTCGACTTAACCGCGATATCTGCGATATAAAGCGTTGTCGCGCACTCTCTGCTTCCCATCGCATATTTGTCAAATACACACAGTACGTTTCATACGTTTTCATGAAGCAAAATAAACACTATATTCAGTACTTTATGTACTGCTTACTACAACACATGTACAAAAATAAAGATAAGCATAAGCCGCATATGTATTGTTAGTAGCTCAGTCTTTTATATGCTTTTATAATAGGAACTGTGTAGGTAGTTTGTGGAGAACTACGCAAATCGTGAACTTTTGAATCAGTGCATTGATTCAGTTAACGTTAGCTGTTCTGCTGCGATTAGTCGCATTCACAAATGAATCATTTAGTGTGATTTGTGAACGGCTTTTGTTTTAATCGTCCTTTATGTAAGAACAGTCTACTGTATTCATTCTGGCTGGAGTTTAATTTTGGATCCAACAATTCATTTTTTTTTTTATCGTAATTTTGCAAATTATGCTAATACTTAAGCTTGAAGTTGTACTAGTTACACAAGCTACCATCTGATGCTGGTAGCTAGCTTACTATCTCTCAGACAGATTACCAGTCATATTGCTCACAGGCTTGAACAGAACAAAAAAATATAGGCCTATAAAATATATTAGGCCTAAATTTATTTTTGTACTGTGTGGGAAAATGGTGTACTTCTTTACTATAATCTATAATGTTACAATATAAACTACATAGCTCTGTCTACAGTTGTAAAGCAGAATCCAACAGATCAGAGGTAAATATTCTGTATAAAGTATTATTTACTAACATGTCGTTTATTGTAAGGGACTCTACATTTACTACAACACTACTTTACACTACACTTACTATTATATATATATACAGTGGGTACGGAAAGTATTCAGACCCCCTTAAATTTTTCACTCTTTGTTATATTGCAGCCATTTGCTAAAATCATTTAAGTTAATTTTTTTTCCTCATTAATGTACACACAGCACCCCATATTGACAGAAAAACACAGATAGGCTACTTATGCAGATTTATTTTATAGATAAATAGAACATATCTGAGAACTTTTTAAGAATATTTCAAAAATTGCATTCTTGAAGAACATTCTTACAACTTATCTTAAGAAATTTCGTAACTTCTTTCTTAAGATGTTCATGAATCCGGCAGATGCTGCAGAACTAAAAGTGAAATACATTAGTTTGGTATATTCTATACTAGGTGGCCACACCATAGACCGTATTCAGAAGCTTTGTGTAATGAACCTTTTAAAGATAAACGGTGAACAACTTTAACGATTGTGGAACATGAACAAGAACTTATATGTATGTGCATTACACTGCACATCGAGTCTAATGACCTTAAGTGGATTGCGCCCTCCTGTGGTGATTATTGTGCATTACACCACTGCAAATAGAGGCTACTCGACTTAAATGGGTTGTGCCTTCCTGTGGTGATTTTTGTAATTTACACCGCCACATTTTGAGTTGAATGAACTTACAGTAAATGGGTTGCGCCCTGCTGTGGTGATTTCTGTGAATTACACCATTGCACATCGAGTCTAATTCTGCAAATACTCACCTAAATACTCAAGCTTAATGTTGTACTAGATGCACATAATGCATAAATGTTAAAGGGAAAAAAAAACAATACATAAAATACACATATTTTACATTAAAGCACTGTATCAGCGCTTGATTCGTTTTTGACAAAAGCATGTGCTATATGAAATTCCGAAGCTCCTGTGGCCTAAAGAAAGCATGTGACTGCTTCAATATCTGGTTCAAAAGGAGAACGGTTTTCCTTACTCTAATACAGTATAACATTTTTTTCTAATATCATAATTGTATATGCAGCTCAAATGAACTTTACCTATGAAATAAAGTTAAAGGCATAGTTTAAAGAGAAAGATCACAGATTTATGAATGTATGGTTTGTTTAATTCAAGTCGGTGTAATAATACTAAAATAAATAAAATAAAAGAATCGTGTAAAAAGCTGTTTTACAGTCTATTTAAAAATGGCAGCTAATAAAAATGCAATAAAGTTATTTCTATTATCATTTAATTTAGTTATTCTTTGTATCGATTGTATCATTATCTGTGTTATTTTGTTCTGTCTTCTCTTCTGTTAAAATAAATTTATATTGGATAAAGTCAAAAGACCTAAAATGCATTGCGCCTCCCTGTGGTGATTTTTGTGGATGACACCGCTGCAAAATTACTCTCTCTGGTGGTTATTTTTGTGAATTACGCCATAGAATATTTAGTCTAATGAATTTAAACAGGTTGTGCCCTCCTGTGGTAATTTTTATGAATTACAGTGCCACATATTGAATCTAATGAACTAAAACGGATTGGGTCCTCCTGTGGTGATTTTGGTGAATTACGCCACAAAAAATCTTATGAACTTGAAGAATTTGCGCCCTCCTGTACTAATCGAGTCTAGTTAAACAGGTTTTGTGTTACAGTTGAGAGGAAAGCCTTGATCCTAGCCATCGTTAAGCCATCACTAACCTCTGTCACTTTTCAAATCAAAAATAATTTTTCAAATGCATTTTTGATAACTGTAAGAGACTTTACTGACAGACGTTCTTCATACCACAGAGCACATATTTAACTAATCAACAATAAAATATCAGCGACAGAATGGCATGTGACACTGCAAAATTGACTGGACAAACAGAACATTTACTCACATTTGGCGCTTGAGAGGTGTTTAATATTGTGCCCCGGCTTGAGGACACAAACATCCACAACTAGCATTTCTTCGTGTTCTCCACCCGGCACTTTAGACAGCGAGATCTGTGGTAATAAATCTGTTAGTGCAGAATCTCGCAAGGATATCTGTTTTAGACCAATCAAGCCCGGTGATGGTGGCAAAATCTTACACTCAGATTTATTGATTGATTTTGCGTTTTCTTGTTATTTAGATTTCGTTTACAGACAGGGGGGAGGCAATAACAGCATGCAAGTACAAAGATTCAAGGATTATAATTAATACAGCAATACTGAACAATAATATACTCCTTGATATTGATTTCTCATTGCACAGTTTTAGGAACATTTACACAAACCACATTTTGTCTGTAAACGTTCTTGAGGAAGACTTGTTTCTTTGCAAATCTTAATGATGTTTATGTTTATGAATTACTATTTTATCTTTGTAGTGCACATGACTTATGGACCATTGGATCCAGTTCATCTGGTTCATCCAGCTCTGCCTGTATGTGAAATACCATGTATTAATATAACTATTATTTACACTAATACTTTTGGTTACACAGTATGTAGTAGTTTTTATTTCTTTGCCCTACAGAGTAAGGGATATGTTTGAGCAACTAGTCAACAGAAGCAGAGCTCTGGGACGTGTGGACAGACATTCGCTGTAAAGATGGACATCTGCTCGTGGACAGGTAATGCTTATAATGTGTGTTGTTTACTAGTTAATGTGTAGGTTACCGTCATTTTCTTTCTGAAGGGCCTCTCCTTTGAAAAGCAAATGATGGTAACCTAAGCAGCTGGGGAAGGGACGGGGGATGATAATTTTTATGCAGCTTTCTTTTTATTTTCCAGTCTGTCCAAAAGCATAACCACTGCTGGTCACAGTGCGGGAAGCTCCAGGGGGAGACCGTACTGGTATCCCCCTTCTTTGGGCGCGCCTTCACACACACTCCACCATTCACTCATATCACAGAGACCTGGCTGGGATCGAACCAGCAACCTCTGAACCCGTGAGGCAGCGCTCTTACCTGTGAGCCACAGGTCTCTTGTTTGAGCTTGTGGAGGAACTTATTTTTCACTGTTACCCTGTGTTTTTTTCCAATAAACAAGTTAAAGCATTCAGTTGTGTAATTGTGGTGGTATTTGAACCCATGCCTCTACCACATCCTTGTGCACAGAGAGCATGTGTTAGTCACTAGTGCCACTGTGGCTCTCACGCTGAGTGTTGGCATTTGGGGCACTTTGTTGGATATAATGGCAACAATTTAACACAAGCAATAATGGGATTTGAACTCAGATTGCCATGCTTTAACAACTGAGCCACTGAGCTCAGATGTGTTTTGTGTGGTATTTTGTTGAGAGATTCACTTTAAATGAAAAGTAGCATGTGCACCTGCACGACTCTCACAACACAAACTCATTTCTTTGAGATCTGGCTGTGATTGAACCAGCAACCTCTAAACCTTGGGGCAGCACTCTTACCAGTGAGCTATAGATAACTTGTTTGAACAAGTGAAGGAACTTATATTTACATACTGTATGTGACCTGTGATTTTACAATAAGCTAGCTAAAGCTTTCAGTTGTTTTTTTGTTTGATAAACTGAGGTGGGACTTGAACCCATGCCTCTTTTGCAGCCTCAAACAGAGAGCATGAGCTTGTGGAGGAACTTATTTTTCACTGTTACCCTGTGTTTTTTTCCAATAAACAAGTTAAAGCATTCAGTTGTGTAATTGTGGTGGTATTTGAACCCATGCCTCTACCACATCCTTGTGCACAGAGAGCATGTGTTAGTCACTAGTGCCACTGTGGCTCTCACACTGAGTGTTGGCATTTGGGGCACTTTGTTGGATATAATGGCAACAATTTAACACAAGCAATAATGGGATTTGAACTCAGATTGCCATGCTTTAACAACTGAGCCACTGAGCTCAGATGTGTTTTGTGTGGTATTTTGTTGAGAGATTCACTTTAAATGAAAAGTAGCATGTGCACCTGCACGACTCTCACAACACAAACTCATTTCTTTGAGATCTGGCTGTGATTGAACCAGCAACCTCTAAACCATGGGGCAGCACTCTTACCAGTGAGCTATAGATCACTTGTTTGAACAAGTGAAGGAACTTATATTTACATACTGTATGTGACCTGTGATTTTACAATAAGCTAGCTAAAGCTTTCAGTTGTTTTTTTGTTTGATAAACTGAGGTGGGACTTGAACCCATGCCTCTTTTGCAGCCTCAAACAGAGAGCATGTGTTCAGCCACTATTGTGGTTCTCACGCTGAGTATTAGAGACTTTTTTTGGATATGCCAACAATTTAATATAAGCAATAAATTGCGCCCTCCTGTGGTGATTTTTGTGAATTACATCGCTGTAAATCCAGTCTAATTAACTTAAAAAGGGTTGCGCCCTCCTGTGGTTATTTTTTTGAATAACATCACTGCATATCGAGTGTAATGACCTCAAATGGGTTGCATGACTCCACTGCATAGTCTAATAACCTTAAACATGTTACGCACTCCTGTGGTGATTTTTATTAATTACACCGCTACAAATTGCATCTAATGAACTTAAATGTGTTGTGCCCTCCTGTGGTGATTTTCGTGAATTACACCGCTGCAAATCGAGTTTACTGAACTTAAATGTATTGCGCCATTCTGTGGTCATTTTTGTCAATTACATCGCCACAAATAAAGTCTAATAAACTAAAATGTGTTGCGCCCTCCTGTGGTTATTTTTTTAATGACATCACTGCATATCTAGTCTAATGACCTTAAACATGTTACGACCTCATGTGGTGATTTTTGTGAATTACAGCGCTGCAAATCAAATCTAATAACTTACATTCTTAATTAGCTGTCTGCTCAAGCTGTGGGTTATGGAACATAGCTGTGGGTGCTTATGAAATATGTTAAATATAGTTATTTGTAGTTAATAGGAGTTATAGTTTTTTGTATATTTTTTACGTTAAATTGTGTGGTTCTTTTAAAATTTAAAATAAAGTCTGAGTTAGTGCGCCCTCCTGTGGTGTTTTTTGTGGATTACAACGCTGCAAATGGAGTCTAATGAACTTCAATGAGTTGTGGCATCCTCCGGTGATTTTTGTGTGACAGACGAATATTTAATTACTTACCTATGTCTGTTAAAGCTGTGGGTTTCAAATGTTAAATGTTAGTTATTTGTAGTTAATAGAAGTTATAATTTTGTCTGTCATTCCTTTTTGTTTTATGTAGTTATGTGTTAAATTGTAAAAGTCTGAATTTGTGTTACTCTTGTTGAGAATAGCACCACTGCACTATACATACTCAACCATACTCAACCTGTTCCACAAAACATACTCAATCTATTGCTTTAGGTTGAGTATGTTTTGATCTATTTAAGAAGTGCATGTGCAGTTATATATCATTATGAATTCTTTCACTATCAATAATTGTTAATCAATAACTTTTTCACATTGAAAGTGATCATCCAAAATAAAGTTGAGCCAGGGTGTTAGACAGCCCTGTGAACAGAACTGTGTTGCACAGAAAGAAATAGATACCAGTATGAATTTATGAGATTAATGTACACATAAAATTATGTACAATAAATTACAAGGTAATTTTAAATTTCAGTTTTGCAACGCAAGCAATTCATGTTCTTTAACCTGTTCTTTAAAATGACAACCACAAAACACACTCAATCTACTGCTTTAGGTTGAGTGTGTATTGATCTATTTATGAAACGCATGTGCAGTTTTATATCATAAAATGTTTCACTATCAATAATTGTTAAAAAGAAAGTGAAGTCTTTCTTTTTCACATTGAAGGTGATCATCCAAAATAAAGTTGAGTCAGGGTGTTAGACAGGCCTGTGAACAGAACTGTATTGCACAGAAAGAAATAGATACCAGTATGAATTTATGAGATTAATGTACACATAAAATTATGTACAATAAATTACAAGGTAATTTTAAATTTCAGTTTTGCAACGCAAGCAATTCATGTTCTTTAACCTGTTCTTTAAAATGACAATTCCAAAAAGTTAAAAATGCTGTACTGAAACTAAAAGTCTAAAAGACCATCACATAATTGTTAAATGATTTTTCATATAAAACAAAGCTCTTAATAAAACCCCATCCAAAAATGCATGGACTCTGTAGGATCAGTGGCTCAGCTGATAAAGCATCATGTTTTAATCATGGATACATGTGTTCAAATCCCACTACTGCTACATTAAGTAGTTGCTATAATTTATGCCGTAGCTAAGCTTAAAGTCTCCATGACCCTTAAATAAACACAATCGCAAACTCTGTAGCTCAGTGGATGATCATTTGCCTTTCATATGTATGAGTCTGGGTTCAAGGCCTATAAATGGCTTAAGTTCTTCACCAAATAAAACAAAGCTCTTAACAAAATATCCATCCAAAACACTCAATGGCTCAAGAGCTAAAACGCTGCATTTTAATCAGGGAGACCAGAGTTCAAATCCAAGTAATACTTAAACTTTATAGTTATTATAGGTAATGCCACAGAACCAAATCCAAAGCACCACCACATATCACAACCTCTGTGGTTCAGTGGATAATCACGTGTCTATCATATGTGACAATCTGGGTTCAAACCCAGCAATTGCAGAACTTTCTATTTATATACAACACAGTTCTCAATGAAACCCCATCTAAACTAACCTCAATCCTTCAGGCTCTGTAGCTCAGGTGATAAAGCACTGCATTTTAATCATGGAGAACTGAGTTCAAATCCCACTATTGCTTATGATAAATTGCTAATGTTATATACAACAAAACGGCCCAAAAGGCAGCAGTTGAATTGAAAGCCATGATGGCACTAGTGGCTAAACACACGTAGGTTGTAGACAAGACTATGATAAAAACACGGCTTTGAATCCTACCTCGGTGTGTGGTGGTCACTCCACGGGAAAAGAGCTTTGACAACAGTGGACTACCAAATAATGGAGCAGGATGGCAAAAGTGGAGGACTCTGGGGTAGTAAAACAGACTGGCTGCAGCCATGAAAGCCATGGACAGACTGGCAAACATACCTGGGATGGTAAGATAGCCACGATGTGAGAGATGAAGAAAAGAGAGCCTCATGTGTGGTGGTACTCTTCATAATTGAGGCAGAGGGTGACTCGGGGGAGAAGAATTGTTGAATGAAGTCCATATTTTTGTTTTCTTTGCGCACAAAAAGTATTCTCATCGCTTCATAAAATTGCGGTTGAACCCCTGATGTCACATGGACTGTTTTACCGATGTACTTACTGCGTTTCCCTCGGATTTCATCAAAAATATCTTAATTAGTGTTCTGAAGATGAATGAAGGTCTTACGGGTTTGGAACGACATGAGGGTGAGTAATTAATGACAGAATTTTCATTTTCGGGTGAACTATCCCTTTAACTTTATAAGGTGAGCCCTATCCCTTAAAAAGGGATGATATGAGCCAATGCTTTTACCTTCTTTTTTTCTCTTTTTTTTTTAAGGGAAAAACCACAACTGTTGGGTAGAGGTCATAAGCTCCAACCACTCAACCACCTCCATTTGGTACTGTTTTATTTTAAGAAATAAACACTTTTACACACATAAAAAATAAATAAATAGTCACAATTGTCTAGGCACAATTAAATAAATATAACCAGATTGAAAAACATGAAAAATAAGCAAATATTTAGAATTATAATGTTAAAATCTCCTTCTCAGACCAAACTCTGGAAGTTTACTAGAAATAGAGGATGCCCTGGACTTTATTTGTATGATGGGAAAATTCCACACTCACAAAACACCATGCCTTCATTTTAAACCTAATTGTAAAATATTCACTTCTCATTTACTTTTGCTTTACTCGTCATGTCACAGAATCTCCTCCAATAGAAAAGATTTAAACACATACAATCTTATAGAACAATTAATAAATAAGTAATAACTTGTATGGTTATGATTTATTTTTTTATTATTTTTTTTACTTGAATAATTATATTTAAATTTTTATTGTATCCCCCACATGTTCTTGTTCTAACGTTTAGGTGAATCTTTCTGGTATTGTTAATAATAATAATAATAAAAACTCAAGATATTTGAAGTTTTTA